CACATTATAACGCCCCCACAGCTGAAGTATATAGCATATAGTAAGACGCGAAAAATATGGAACCTTTAATTTAGCATAAACCTCTTACTGTTTGTATAAAATGAAGATATTGTAGATTTTTTTTAAAATGAACTACAACTTTTCATCACTCTGGTTTGTTTCGATATCCTTAAATACTTCTCTTCGTTTTCAGAATGCAGATATAGCAATCGGTGACTTGACGATTACTTACGAGCGAGAAGGAGTTGTAGATTTCACAATGCCTTTCATGAACCTTGGAATCAGCATCCTCTTCAGGAAACCCGCCAAGAAGGTTCCTAAGCTCTTCTCCTTTCTCTCACCCTTGTCCTTGGAAGTGTGGGTGTATATGGTAACTGCCTTCTTAGGAGTCAGTATCTTTCTTTTCGTCGTAGCTAGGTTCAGCCCGTATGAGTGGACCAACCCTCACCCTTGTAATCCAGATCCGGATACTTTAGAAAACCAGTTTAGTCTTTTGAATACCCTGTGGTTTACGATTGGTTGCTTGATGCAGCAAGGTTCGGAGTTAATACCTAAGTACGGAATTATTGTATACACTACTTGGTGATATTATCGTACGTATTCTTGTGAACCTTTTGAAATTTCTGTTTCATACAAAACAACACCTAAAAACCAACGACGTGGAGAAAATTAACTGATACTGTATTGTCTCTTCACTTCTGTTCTTGCCAATCACATCAACAGGCCAGTCCAGCAGATAAAGCAGTGTATTGAAGTCGGAGATCGTGTTTAATTTTTAATATATTTATGAATTAGGAAAACTTAATCATCAGTATTACGATATTTTTTTTTCTAAATAAGATCTTAAGATTTACAATTTTTCCTCTAAAGGTACGCAGATAAAAGACGTACAAACCCTGCGGTAAAGCGTGTATTTTATAGACTTGGAGAATTCAGAGTTATTGGTAGTTATAGAAAAACTATAAAATTTCAGAGCGATGTCCACCCGTGTGGTTGCTGGCATCTGGTGGTTCTTTACCCTCATTATGGTATCCTCGTACACAGCTAATCTAGCAGCTTTTCTTACTGTGGAAAGACTGGTCACTCCGATAGAGAGCGCAGATGACCTGGCCAAACAGTCCACTATTCATTACGGATGCGTCCAGTCTGGTTCCACCCTAGCTTTTTTTGAGGTAAGTTTGTTTGTTTGTTATAAATTTCTCGCAAAGCTACACTAGAGCTATCTGCACTA